ACATAATTCTTCTTATAATTGATTGCGCTTAATCGATTCTACAACTGTTTTTGTTATCATACTTAGCATTCAATTTATTTATCTTTAATAAATTCCTGTTTTCACTAAATCTAATGGAAAATCTTAATGTTAACACGATGATGAACCTTGTGAACTTACATGGATCTGCAACCAGGGTTCCAATATTGACCCCTGAGTACTATGATCAATGAGCAAATCGTATGGAGGATTATCATAATCGAATTTATAAGGATCTTTGGAGATCGATCGAGACTAGACCTTATCATGCTGATTTAGCTTAAGCCGTTGGTAACACTTGAGCAGATGAGGATATGATTGCACAAGGATAAAAGATGAAAGAGAACGATAAAAGATGCCTTCGTGCACTATGAGGAGCTCTTCCACCTTTCGTTTACAATTACGTTCGTGGTGCTTCTCTGAATTTTCAGATATGTAGTGATTCGTACCACCTTGGAGTTAATCTCACCTTTTTTTCAGACTCAGAAAGGAATGGAGAAACCTTTTTCTAATGATAAAGACACAGGAGAATTTTGACACATACTCCTTGTCGAATGTTTACAATATTCTGAGAGTGCATGAATTGGGGGTGTTGGATATTGCTAAAGAAAATAAGATTAATTTTAGAGGTCCGATGACGTTAGTTTCCAAAATGAATGCGAAGGAGGATTACTTTGAAGAAGAAGAAGAAGAGAAAGAAGGTGAAGAAGGTTTTCTTCTCAACTCTAACAATGAATCTGTTGCATATGATTCAAATAATAGTGTGAAAAAGGTCAATAAGAATTCAATAAATGGGAATTTCAAGAACATCTTAAAGAAGAAGCCGATGATGAACGTTGGTGTAAGTCAGAAAGGAGTTGCAAAAGTTGGGAAGAAATAAGAAGAGAAGAAGGTTGAGAAGCAATTGAAAGGCGATTCATGATACAACTTTAACTACTACAATGGTCACAATTATCTAGCAAAATATTGTATGTTGAGGAAGAAAGAGGAGAAGAGAGAGAAAGTGAAGGACGAAGAATACTACTTAATAAAACTAGAATAACTCTGTGTTAAGCTTAGAATCTTTCTTTGATGGTGAAGGGAGCCATTAATGGTGATGTTACATATCAAATAAGGTCCTTATGGTCAGATGACAAGGAAATGTGTCATCCCACACATGGAGTGTTGTTTGCTAAACACAAAGAAGGTGGATCAAGAGGAAAGAGCTGGTTCGAGGAAGGTGAGGAAGATAGTGATGATAGAAGGATAGAGAATGTGAAAGGAGAGTAGAATGATGAAGAAGACGAGGAGCAAATTGGGAAGTGTTTTGTTTCGACTGCACCAAAATCTCCAATGATAACAAATGTGCATGATCTTCTTGTTTCTCTTGATATTCTATAAATTATTATCATGCTATTTTATGTGATATTGATAAAACTTGCTCTTATCTGAATGACATGTTGATTTCTATGAGTAATGAAGCAAAAAAAATCTAAGGCCTTACTATACGACGCCCGAAATAAGTTGGAGGAGAAGAATGGTAAGATGGAAGGTCTAGAGCTAAAATTGATGAACATTATGTGTGATAGGGATGGTATTCGTATGAATAATTGTATGCTAGGTAAACAAAAAAAACATATATTACAATACAGCCAAACGTTTATATGGAAAATTGACAGATCTTTATCATTCGTCTGATATATGTGTTGAACAACATATGAAGCTACTTCCCTCTATTACTTTCAAAAGAGAACTAGTTGACGAAACGACCTTTTATTATGAAAGTAAAGTAAATGACTATGACACCATTCCAAATAATTCGTATGCATATGGTGTTGTAAACATAAACAAACGTTTGAATGCTGATGAACTTCTTGATTATGTGACTGAGACTTTGTGCAAAAATGAACAAATTAAAATTTTGAACAAGACTGAGAATTTAACATAAAGTAGTCAATAAAATTTTGCTGATATTGAAAATGATTCATATAAGTGAAATTGAGGAATGCGAATTTGTTAATTGGTCAAAATTATGTATCATTAATGTCACCTTGTTAGCTAAAGGAAAAGATAATGTTAACTTAACAACGAATCCAAACAATGATTTTTCGACAATAAAATATTGTGATTCTCAAAAGGAGACAAGTATTGTCGAAGAGATAACAAATAATGAAAGTGATAGTGACAACGATTCTTGTGAAAATGAAATTCCTCGAGTGATTGAAGCTCAGGTGTATGAGGATATTAAGGAATTCACAAAAAAGTTAACCGAAAAAGGAAAACATTTTTTTGGAAATGATTTCAGCTCTTTATCCAACTTGCATTAAATGACTTCCAAACCAAGTTTTTGTAACAAAAGAGAATGATGATAATGTTGATCCAAAAATAAGAATTATTAAAAGAAGATAATCAAAAAGTGACTTATGAAGGTTTTTACTTAAATAAGGATATGGAGGAAAACAAGTTAAACAAAAGATAAATGGTTTTTCAATGTCAAAAGAGTTAAAAAATCTTCTTCTAAAGAATATGAAAATAAAACAAATAAAGTTTTCTTTGTGAAAATGGATAAGCAAAATGTCAAAAGTAAATATGAAGAAAATTATAAGAAGCCTGTACTTAATGATTCAAGTAATCAAAATGTGAAAGCTCATTCTTTCAAAAAGAAGGAAAAATTAGTTTCAGAAGAAGCATTTTTCAAAACACGAAAAGAAAAGATTCAAAATCATGAAAAAGAAGTTGAGAAATTGGATTTGAAAGATAAAATTTCCAAAACAAAAGTACAAAAGAAAGTTTATTTGAAAAAACAAAAAAATTCTCAAAAAGCGAAGATTTGAAACACAATAATTCACAAAAACTTGAAAGGAAGTTTTCTCAAACATCAAAAACTCATACTTCAAAAGAGTATTCTAAATATGATTCAAACAATGTCAAAAAGAATGTTGTCAACAAAAGTGTTTTTTCACAAAAAATGATAGTTTGTCAAAATTCAAATGAGAAAAAGGGATGTTAAAGTTTCAATTCTTATTTAGAAAAATGTTCAAAACACGAAGGGTTTTCAAAATAATAATATGCATTAACAAAATAGTTTTCAAAACAATTGACAAATGAGTTTTTTACAAAAATCAGAAAGTTTTTCAAAAAGATTCTCATTTTGGTTATCAACATCAATACCAAAATCATTTTTAACAATGACCACAAAATTCATGATCTCAAATAAATTTTAGGAAAATAACAAATGTTACAAAGAAAAATTTACCATTTAAACCTGATGTTCAATGTTTTCCAAATCTTAATTTGAAGAAAAAGTTGAATGTATCTTTTGTTAAAGGTAAAAATGACACAGAAAATCTTAATCATTGGTTTGATGAAATATGAAGACAATTTCAATAGCAAAAGCATTCTTAAGAACAAATCCAACAGATTTATGAGAATTACATGAATAAAAGTAACTCTTTTTAAGAACCAGTGTCACAAGTCTCAAAAAGACAAAAGTTTAAATAAAAAAAGTTAATGTTTCTCAAAGAAATGTTGAAAAAGAGAAAATTACAGTTGAAACTTTGCCATTGAATAATTATATATCGATGCCTAAAATTGACAAAAATGACTTAATCGACAAAATCAAAACAAAAGCTCGTAGTTGGATCTTTAGTTCTTCGTTGCACACCAACATAGATTACCATCACTACATGAATATTGACTTTTAGCGGCAACTATTGGTACAAACAAATTGTGTTTCCAATAATTAAATTAGACACAAAATCGACAAATAGGGCTCAACCATAGAGTTTCATGCAGTTTGGTGTCGATGAGCTTTAGTGACGACAACCATTATTTGCGTTGACACCTAATGCGAAATAGGGATGAGCATCGGAACCGGATACCCGCTTTTGGAACCGGAACCGCTTCGGAACTGCCAGTTTTGGATCTGGAACCGCCTTAAGCGGTTCTGATTCTGGTTCCTAAAGTTATGGAATTGTCTTAAGTGGTTCCGGTTCCGGTTCTCGTTTTTTCGGAACCGCTACCCGCTGGGTACCTGCCGAATGCGGTTTATATATATATATATATATATATATATATATATATATATATATATATATATATATATGTGTGTGTGTGTGTGTGTGTGTGTGTGTGTGTGTGTGTGTGTGTGTGTGTGTGTTATTTAGATCGATTTAGAATATATATTGATCCGATTTTGTCCGTCTTTGGTCCGAATTGACTTGATTTGGATGAAACTAAATTACATTTTTATCGAAAAAATTTAACAAAATTAATGTAACCGGGTTATCCGTTTCTGGAACCGGAACCGTCGGTTCCGAGACTGGTTCCAAACATATAAGAACTGCCTATAGCAGTTCCGTTTCCGGTTTTAACTTTCTAGGAACCGCCGGTTCCGGTTCTCGCCAAATAAGGCGGGTACCCACCTATCCTCATCCCTAATGCGAATGTTTGGTATCGCCGCTGAAAGTGGTTGTCGCCACTAAAGCCCAATACTTTTGTAAAATATAAGCGTGTTGCATATCTTTCATCTCCATTACATAGAATCTCTAGCTCTATCGAGATGATAATTAAATGCGTGTTGCATTTCTTTCATCTCCATAACGTACAAGCTCTAGTTCTATCTAGATGATAATTAAATGTGTGATTGGACATACTTCGTATAGTTTCAAACAATATGAAAAGTAAAGAGAGACAATGTTGCGTTATTAATATTCTAAGTCAAAGTAACATTGAAAAGTTATAACGGTTATCTTCTATATATAATGTATAAGTTTTCAGATTTCATATTTATACCATTTAATTAGTGTTTTGCTAAGTTGTATTCAGACCAGAACACCAAAGTATCTTACAGGTAATGATGTGCAATCGCTTTTACCTTTTACCTTTTCTAGGAAAGGGTAAAAAAATCTAGCATACATATGTTCATGTGTCAGCTACTTGACAAAAGAACAATATCATTAAATCAAACACATATAAATAAATGTTTACTTTATTTGTTATTTCTCCCATCAACCATGTATTTTTTTAAACCTAACTCCTTACAAACGGATTCCTACAAATATGTTTTCGATCAAAATAAAGAAGTTAACAAAAAAAATTTCATGATGATTATCTTCAATGGAACATAGATCAAAAAAGTTGTACTTCAACCAAAATAATAATAACAAATCCAGATTGCTTAAAATCTTAAACAAATTAAGTACATACATGCCAAGAATCCATGGGTTCTTCAAATCAAGGTCATCGTCGTCCTCTCAACGACTTATGAAGCCTTCAATCTCTTGGGAGAATAATTACAAATTTGCATAAACACACATAATACACACACTCAAAAAAATAAAATGTTATACGTTTGGTTCTAAAAGAAGAAATTACCTTATTTTTACCCGTGGGAAACTTAGGGTGATGCATTTCTTCTACTACAGCATCCATCCTGGAAACAGCCCATTAGGATTGTTTCCATTGACACCAGCAACATTCATCTCATCGGAGCCAATAGGGTTATATCTTAATCCGCTGAAACTGAAAAATCAATTGGAAAAGGAGTCCCTTTTAGTTCAAACTAGTGCTATTATTTTAAATTTATAACCTTCTGTTTTAAGCTTGAATTCCGTAAAAACACCTGGTGTGCATGGTGGAGTTCAATCCAAGAGGCTGGAAGAAATCGTCAGAGTGTGTAGGAAGGGGATTATACGGAATTGTTTGTGCTCCACCTTCCCACATTTGCCTAACTGGAAATTCCTGAGCATTTTCTTCCAACTGCGCAAAAGATCACTTCAGTAGTCTGTTTCTTTCGCTTTAAACTAATATAAGGTATGTATTAACAAAAAACTCATCCAGTGTTCAGGATATATGCTTGATATATGTATTATAGTGAATGGAGGATTATATTAATTAGTGTGTTGAGAGAAGAGAGAGAGTAATACCTTTTTCCTTAAGGCTTTATTTGTTTCAGCAAGAACTTGCTCCTGTAGATGTAGTCCGCCATTAATTCAAGGGTAAAATAACCTAAAACATTCAAGAGTGCACTGATCTTTTTACCTTTCTTTGGAGTTCAGCAAGCTGATCCAACATGCATTGAGTCTGAAATTTCAAGAACAAAACATCTATATATAAGCTTATGAACCTAATATGATCTTCCACGCTTTCCACCCATTTCTTAAATAGTGAAATATCTCTTTCTCGTATGTAAGCAATAGATGACTTTAATGAAAAAAGAACGACTAGGATAGCCTCAAGTTTGTACCTTCGTTGATCTGATCTTCCTCAAAGACATCTCCAATTGGTGCTCAAGTTGCTCCAGCTCCTTAGTGTTTAATGGGGTCAAATCTTCTCCGAGAAGATTTCTACAAGATTAATTGATTACCAGTTTAATTAGGGCATCGAGGATATTTCAACAACAATTTTAATTTACGATTAGAGGAGTCAGAATATTTTTGATGAATAAAGTGCTCAGAACTCTACATGCTAACGTTTGGAATCAGTGTCATACCTTTGTGATCGTTGCAGAACTTCCACTCTTGCCTTTAGCCTCAGATATTCATGGTAGTTATACTGCTCAACCATTTAGCTCGATGTTAATTACTATGACTCATCATAAAATAAAAGTGATGAACCCATATTGGATCAAATTGTTACTTTAAAACTCCTTAACTATTTATATATGCCTCAATAGCTCATTTTGGTTACCATTGTGCATCTTTATGCCTCAATGGCTCTACAGATCTTCTTCTTCAACATGTGGGTGTTATAGTGTGAAAAAGAGATAGACTTTTGGTGTTATTATTTTGTGTATGATGGAAGTACAAGTTTTAAGTGTACATACACACTCAAAATGATTGCAATTTTTAAAATACGATCGATAGCAACAAACCTGGCTCTCATTTTCAGGTTGGCTGGCTTTCAATGATCCATAACTACAGCTGTGGTACTTCTCAAGTGTTTTCACCATGCTGAAAATGGAATATCCAAGAACAAAAAATTAGCAACTGGGAAAAAATGATAAGTACTTAGAGAACCCTCTTTTGAATTAAGCTGAAATTAATTAAGGAAAGACCCGAAGTGCTCATGCTCTAAATTGACCTAATTCATTGCTACACATGACTAAACATGTGTTTCCACTTCAGGAGAGGTAGCACACCACTAACTAGATGATATATCATCAAAATTTTGCTAAGAAAAAAAAAACCCATATGCACAATCAACATCATAAGATTCAATATATGTTAAAATATCTAACATCGACGACTCAAAAGCATACCGTAGTCGTATACAAAACAATGATAATTAATTCTAGTAATTAATAGGAAAAACTAAAAAGAAAACATTTCTTGGTGAAAAACTTTTTTACACTGAAATTGAGAGCATGTAACCAGAGAATATATTTCTTGAATTCTTGAGCTAGATCAGTGTTATTAGAACTTAGGATAAACTTGACTACTAGAAGTGGGTCTTGGATGTGTTCCCCACGCAATTAAAAATTAAAAACAAAATAGTGACGTGCTTGCTTTAGATTTTGCTCAAGTCTCATTTTATACTTGGAGTAGATTAATTACTCAAAGCTAGAGCCAGATCGTGTTCGAAAGATCAGTTAAGATCAAATGATTAAATACAAAATGGTAAATGATAATTTTTAAAAATTTGTAGTATATATACATCATTTTTATCACTTTGTGAGGTTCAAAGTAAGAAATGATGAAGACGAACGATCCATTTTTTCAAGTATATAATAAATTCATTTGCAAATTAATTAAAAAATTGTCACAAAGAATAGATAGTATTTTTTTAATAAACTAAATTAAAATAATAATATCAACTTCTTTACTATCTAGGGTTGCAAAATTCTATATTAGATATGAAGATTTAGTATATAGGGTTTCAAATGATTTGCGCTTTTGCAGCTTTTCCAGATCTCTTCTCTGATATAACATCTAATGAATCTGTTGAAAAATAAATCTGAACAGTATTTCGTAGATAATGATTTCTTTTTTAATTTCAAGGAAAATTAACGCAAGAAAAACAAAACCTAAAATTATTTCAAGAAATCAAAAACTCATGACCGCAAGACACAAAAAAACTTAGCCTTCAAAAAACAAAGAAAAATCAAAACTATGCTTGTAAAAGGCTAGATAATAAATCTATTTTGAAGATACTTCAGATTTAAACCTGATAATAGGAAAATTAAATTAACAATAAATAATAAATTACAATGAAACAAGAAAAGGAACAGATCTTTACGAAACCCTTCATTTTAGTTGACCAGGATGAATCTCTTTGAATTTCCAAGTTTGTACAGTCGATAAAATATCAAAAAATCGGTACATGCTTTTTTCCAAGATTTCAAAGAAAGAAAAAGATAGATCGTATGTAAATCTACTACTAACGAAAAGATTTCATAGTTTTTGTGTGTAAAGTACTATAGAAGATAAGAAAACATACAACTACACACAAAAAAAACAGCCAAAGAATCTATCATGAAAGATAGAGAGAAAAAAAAAAAAAAAAAGTATACCTAGAACTGCTACAGAATTCATAAAGCTTTCCACGATTAGAGAAGATGATGAGAGCAACCTCAGCATCACAGAGAACTGAGAGTTCATAGGCTTTCTTGAGAAGTCCATTTCTTCTCTTAGCAAAAGTAACCTGCCGGTTAATTTTGTTCTCTATTCTCTTCAGTTCTACTCTCCCTCTTCCCATGATTATTAGTAGTTTGTTTCCTTTTTATTTGTGTGTTTTTTTCCTTTCTGCAAACAATTCTACTCTTGGTTAAGAGAAGACCCACTTTTAGAAGTTCCTTTAATTCATGAAACTTGTGTTTTGTATATAGATAAAACAGGAGGAGAGAGAGAAACTGAGTTCTCAAAAGAGAAATGTGAGAAGAAAATGGAAACCCTGGGGTGATCTATCTTTGGGCAACCCCCATCTACCATTGGTCTTTTCTATACATGACTGCCACTTTAATTCAATAATGAATACTCTACTCTCCTTTTAACTTTGTATTACTCTACACTCCACAGTATACAATAAAATGGTATAATTTGTTTCATTTTCATTTAATATTTTGTATTAAGAAACATTGATGTAACCACTGGATAAATAACAGAAATTTATACAAATGAATGAAATATCTATATATTGGTAATTAAACATGATGCGTTTTATAAGTTGTTCTATTTTCAAATTAGTTTTCATTAGCTCGAATACATTTTATATACATTGAGCTCACGGGTAAAATAAATTACGTACATGCATCTTACATCACCTCAAGTGCTCCATGTTTATGATGAACAATCTTTTTGAATTGGGTTTATTATGGATATATACTTATATATGTGAGATATGTACCTTATATATGTTAGCCAAATCCTAAGTTTATTGATGATACCTAGGTGATATCTTTATTTTTGGATTAAATATTGATAAATAACTTAGCTTTGGTTGGATCAATTGAACTTTTTTTTTGAACCGACAAATAGAGGGTAACCCGACCCGATGGATCAGGAATATCTGACGGGCCATCAAGAGGGGCACCACTCACCACCAAAGGGGACGAAGAATCGAACTCACGCCGGTCCAGGGAAATTCCGTCAAATGTGCTCAGCCAAGAGTAGAACTATTGACCTCATCCAGAGAGGCCTATAACCCAGGATGCATCACAACCTGCTAGGCTGGTCTCGAAACTTGTTCATTTGTGTTGTATATAATCCTCTAATGCGTACTTTCTACCATATAGGTTATTTCTCTCATATCTTACTAAAATATTGTCGTTTCAAAAACTAATCTTAAGTACATTAACTGTCATGAAAATTTTTGCGAACCTGATTGCTTTTATGTAAATTATTTTGTCAGAAAATAGTATTGTCATGTAAGAGGATATGCGAAATGTTGAATGGATTCGTCTTATTGTTGGTTCTTCCTTATGACCTTTATGTAATAGTATTGTTGGTTCTTCCTTGTGAGTGATTATACTCTTGTCTATACGTGTCATATCTTCATGTTTCCATGCAAACATCTTGCTTTTTGTTCGAAGGAAATTTAACAGGTCTTTGGCTTCAGATCCTCGCTGGTCCTCACTGGTCAGGGGCACTTCCTTCACATTTTGCTCCTTCGTTTCTGTAACATGTTGTGCCCCTGCCTTAATTGCTATGCTTTCTGGGGTTTCATCGTAGGCTTCATAGAGTTTTTATAACATTCATTTGACTCTTCTTGATCTCCCATGGTATTCATTATTCCCCACAGAGTAGACATTTTTACACACTAATGATACGTTGATGGAACCACTTTTATCTTGTGGATCCACAGTCTACCTAATATCACATTATAAGAACATAAGGTTTTAATAACACATAAATTTTGTATAGAGTTTACCCCTTCTATGTATATTTGTAGCTTTATCTCCCCGATGGTGTGTTCCGTTTCTCCACTAAATCCTATGAGGACCGAGGATCTTTTGATTATCTCTGATTCCAAGATGTTCATCCTCTTCAATGCATCCAAGAGTATGATGTTGACCGAGGATCCTCCATCAACAAGGATCCTTCTGACGAAGAGGTTGGCAATATACAGTGTTATCATGGGTTCGTCATGGTGAGGATCATGTATCTCTTCCCTGTCCATCTCGTCAAACGTGATTTCCTTTTCATTGATAGCGAGGTATTCTTCTGTGGTCTATCCTACTTTTCTGTTTTAGAGACCTTGGCGTGTATTTTAGCCTGAGAATATGAAGTACCACAAATGTAAGATCCGCCTGAGATAACATTAATTATCTTGGCATTTGGGGGCGGAGATCCTAGTTTCTCTGGGATCCTGTGACCAACCTGGTTGTTCTCCTTGGACTTTTCTTTCTTTCTTCTGAGGATCTCTTTAAGATTCCCTTTGTTAAGGAGGTAGCTGATCTCCTTTCTTAGGTTTATACAGTCCTCCATCATGTGACCGGAATCTTCGTGGTAAGCACACCATTTCAACTTGTCTTTCCAATTGGTGGACTTGTTATCCTTCCTTTACCACCTCGATTTGTCTCCTAGATCTTGCATATCATAGATTAAATCCGAAACATCTATAGAAAAATAATAGTCAGTGATCTTAGGAGGTTCATCTTCCTCTCCTTCATCTTCGAGGGCATTAACCATGTGATGATCTGGTTTGGAATATGGCTGCGATTTGTAGGATCTTGGAGACGAGGATTCGGCCTTCCTATTGGGATTCTCATATTGACTTAAAGGGTTGATCCTATTCTAGACTTCTTTATCCTTTTCAAGCCTTATGAACCTCAATGCTCGGCACCTAACTTCGTCCAATCTCTTGCATGGAGTCATCACGAGATCTTCATATAAGGGTGAATCCTTCCTTAAACCCATCTTGAAGGCCTCCATAGCAGTCGCCATGTCAATGTTGGGGATGCTCAGAGCTTTCCTGCCAAACCTATTAATAAAATCCCTAAGTTGTTCCTTAGGATCCTGAACCACCCGATAAAAATCACTAGTGGTCTTCTCGAAGGTTCGGCTACAAAAAACTGGTTATTGAAAATATTGACTAAATGTTCAAATGAAGTAATAGTCTAATAGAATAGGGAGGAATGTTTAGCTTCCTTCAAGTGCACTGGGATGGGAATTATCTCCATCCTTTCTCGGTATTATGCTACGTGCTCTTCAGGATCCGTAGTTACATCGTAAGGCTTCACGCTAGGATTCTAGAATCGTTTAGGAACTTTGGTATCGACTATCATAGGAGCAAATCTCGAGATCCTGTGACTTTTTGGAGATGCTTTTGGTATAGGTTGAACTACCTCGGGTATGGTTGAGATCATCTGTCTAAACTCATGAAGTTCCTTAGCCATGTTTGGACTTATTCCTGCATCAACATTCATAGAGTTAGTATTGATAGTATTGTTGTTCAAGAAGTTACTAGAATCAAGATTTCTAAGAGTATTGAAAGGCTCATCAAGATCATTGATCATAGATGCTTGATTGGTCATAGTCGTCCCCCAAGGTGATGCGACAGTAGCAGGAGCTGTGTTCCCTTGTTGATTTCCTAAGGATCCTACATAGTCAAAGTTTAGGATCCTTGGTTGTACAATTGTGGGCATTAGTTCTTGGGATCTCTTAAATTCAACATTCATCCTCTCCACTTCTCTATGTAGTGTTCTATTGTCGTCTTGATGCTGAGTCATCTGTTTGTCATTTTCCTCATCATTCCGAACAGTTCAGCAGTAGTGACTAGAGCAGTCAGATCTTGGAGTCCTGAAGATCGCAAACTTCCTTGGTTAGTGACCGGAGAAGTGTTTCTCTTGGAAATCTCAGGTGCTTTCCTCTGACCAGGGGGTCCATTCGGAGGAGGTGGTAGGTTTTTGGTTGGAATGGAATGATCGGAGGATGAAGAAAGGATCTGTTGTGTAGACATGATCTTTCGAGGATTTTAAACACCACGGCCCCACGGTGGGCACCAAATTGTTTTGGTAAAAAATTACACAAGTATAAATCAACAAAATTGAATGAGAGGATGTGATGTTTCAATTTTGCAATAGAGAAAGGTAAAGAGAATGACACAATTGTTTACAAGGAAAACTCTTGATCCTTCATAGGATCTTCGGCACAAAACATTGGGAGATGATAATGATCACCTGTCTTGATGCTTTTATTGATATAAAATGATGATTACAGAGAGTATTTTAGTAAGAACAAGTAAAAGAGTTCATAGAGTAATCTAAGAGTAAGTAGAGTGTGTTGTGTGCGAGGTGATAATGATCACCTGTCTTGATGATTTTGTGAATGTTGTTTGACTTGGTATTTCGGGTCTTTAACATAGTTGAGACGACTCTCTATTGAGAATAAGTATTCTCTTGACTATTTCTGCACATGTGTTAATTAAGAATGAAATATAACTGTTATAAATTTAGTACATAATAATAACGGTAATAGTCGGGATCCTGAGATAGTTGAGGATCATGAATATCTGATGAGGTTTGAGGATCCTGAATGCTTTGAGGATCATGACCCTATATATATATATATATATATATATATATATATATATATATATATATATATATATATATATATAGATATATATATATATATATATATATATGAAAAACTGTAAAAATGGTCTCTTTGGTATGCGTTTTTTCTGAGGTTTTGTCAAAACCACGATTTTTTTGACTTCATGATCCTTTTGAGGTAGTTTGTTTGTGGAATTAGTCCATGTTAAACTTGAAAAGACTAATCTACCCTTCAAATTTATTTTTTTATTTTTTTTAAACATTTTCCCTGTTATTTTAAAATTTTCAAAAGTAAAAGCAAAGAAAGAGGGCTCTCTCTCTCTCTAAACCACTATTGATGAACAAGAACACCTTGTTCTCTCAAGGATTTAAATAGATTTAAACACTGCCCATACATCTTTTGATACATTGGACTCCTCACACATGGGTAATATTTTTGCCACCGATTAGAATGCCATTTAAGAAACACTTCATCAATCAAACAAATCGCACCTGTTTCAATCAATTTCGGGATCAAATAAAACTCAGTCCCTTCAACATCCATATTCATCACCATAAAAGCTTCCTCTTTCATTGCATTCTTCAACCAATTTGGAAAATCAAACCCTTTAATAACATCAACGAAACCCGTAATCCCACCACCTGATTTCACAGGTTGAATCCTTACCATTCCTCTTCCCTTCTCAACGTTTTCATCAGCTGTGGTTTGATTAATCTCAAAAACCAAGCTCTCGTTCTTCACCCAGACAACATAGGGTAATAATTTCGTTCCTTACTCAACGTTTTCTTCTTCGTTACCATTTCATGAATGTGGGGCATATCAAGATCAAATCCATCCATATGAAGAGAGTGTATGAACTTGCAACAATTGAATAAACGAATGAAAGAATTGAAACTATATATATATATATATATATATATATATATATATATATATATATATATATATATACAGAGAGAGAGAGAGAGAGAGAGAGAAAACTGTAGGTTCATGTGGTATGTATTTTTTCCGAAGTTTAGTCCAAACTTTAATTTTTTTGGCTTCATGGTCCTTTTAAGCTAGTTTCGTTGCGTTTTTGGTCGCATAGAAAACTCAAAAATATTAAAATACCCTTCTCACTCATTTTTTATATATTTTTTTAATTTAATTTAAATTTTAAATAATAAAAATTATGGGCCCACCTCTCTCTCTCTCTCTAATATTATAATCTGGAGTCTGGTTTGTATCTTTATATCATCTATATCTTCATCTAGAGGATCTCCACACCCAAATCCTCACATCACAGGAAGTCAATAAAATCAATCTCACTGATGAACAATGATTCCCCATGAATTTTCTACAAAGAATCCATCTGAAATGAACCATTTCTATCGTCAATTTTTCATTCAATTCGTTATGTATTTGCTTCTCTCCTTCAAAACTCCTCACTCAACCCTTGTTGGAGCTAACGAAACCTCCACCAGATTATGTACCTGCTAGTACTTTCCACTTCCAATCCCTGATTCGTTTTTATTTTATTTAATCAAAATGACTCACATGAGTTTGTGATGGAACTTGTCACTGGTAAACCCGACTTCCTCTGACGGGACCATTGGTAATTAATGGGTTAGAGCATCGACATACTTTTAAGGAGAACACATGAGATTTTATATTTTCCGGAAACAAGCTGTGGGCATATCTGATAAGGCGGC